CCCCAAAACCCCAAAACCCCAAAACCCCAAAACCCCTTTAATAAGAATTTTATTTGAACTTGGAAATAAATAAATTTGAAGTTCACGAAGAATTATGAAGCAGAAAATTAGGAATTCAGTAGGGGTCAAGGCTTCCAAGGATAGGCATCTTAGTAGGAGGAAGAAGGGTAAGAGCAGGAATGGGGGTTAAGAGGGGCTTTAGGGGGAGGAGAGGGATAAGGAGGAAGGAAGGGAATTGGGGGTTTTGGAGAGGCTGATTGGAAATAGGGATGTCTATTACACCTTCAAGCAAGGTGGAGAGCCATAAGAAACAAGGAACAGGCCTGACAGGGCAGAATAAGGGAGATTGTAGTTTTAGTTTTGCTCTTGATGAATCTTATGAAGAGGATTTAGAGTTTATGTCAAAAGTTGGCAATGAACGGAGAAATTGTCAGACTATACGTAAGTATTCACCTATCTGGGTATGGACTTGGGTATTATTGCTAAACTTGATTTGATAGGCAAAAGAATTTCAATAATAGATAGTGATATTCCAACTAATATGAGCTCTTATGGTGACACCAAGGAAAAGGTTCTAAAGGAACTGGTAAGACTACTTAGAATTTTTACTTCAAAACCATAATTCCTTTTCAACAAAGATACTTCAATCACTCAGGGATCTCTATATTGATAGAAAGTTTTAGGTTTTGCTTAATTCCTCGTGTTTGGGTTATAGAATGACTTCCCAGAAAATTTAAACTAGAATATAATACTCAAATCCTTATAGGAAATATGATGAGCTTATTAACCTCGCTGTATAGGAAAGATCCCCATTTTTCATAAAATACTCGATTTCAAGCTCAGACAAAGACGAATCGGAGAACCAGAGAGAGAACGAGAGTGTGACGCTCTTCGATGCTCTAATAGACTCTCAATCATGAATGTCGGGGACAAGGTTGAGTATGATAACTCCTGATGATATTTGTATCAGGAAGATGCCCAAGACTTCTCCTCAAGTATGCCTTGGTTCACTTAATTAATAGATAATTACTCCTTTTATGGAGAAATATGGGAAGAAGGCGATGGCCCAATCCGAAGGCAGAAAGCAGAGAGGAGCTGACTCTTGATTCACAAGTGTGAGTTACTTTACATTGAGTAATTGTACACCCAGGGGCTTCTATGAAGAATAGACCAGTCCCTTGGATGTCTACTTTGAAGTCATTCTTAAGTTTGGCTAATAATTTGCAAATATTTGAAAGTGTTTCTTAGTTTTCATAGAAATATTTGGATAATGAAGGAATTAGATTCATATTTTAGGAATTAATTTATTTGATGTAAGAAATGTCTAGCTAAGCGCAGAGATAGTCAAGCTTGGCCTCGTCGACTGTAGTCGTGCTCTAATTAGCTCTCATTGTCTTCAAAGATAAAATACAAAATGCATTTGCCTATTATTTTTAGGGTTTTTGAGAATTAAACCAGACTTATTAAATATTTTTCAAAGTATTTAAACCCACTTTCTTAGCAATGAAATTGCTATCAATTTTCAAAGTGAAAAAGAGAGATTTAGTAGGTTGTCAAAGTATCTCTATCATGCTAAGGATGTTTTTACATTGTTAAGAAGAGTTCTCTATTCAAACCTCTCCATAAGAGTTTACCTGAGCTGAAACTCATCACCAAAACTATCATAATTGATAAGAATTTTGCTGAATTTCTTTAATTTTTTAAATGTACGAGCAAGCACCAGGGGTTTTGGGGTTTTGGGGTTTTGGGG